GGGGGCCTTCTTGGGCCTCTTGGGGGCCTTCAGGGGGCTTCTCGGGGGCTTCGTTGCCCGTCTCAGGGCGTTCATGGCCCGTCTGACGCCGTCGGAAGCCGTCTTGAGGGCCTCTCTGGGCCAACTTGGGCCCTCTCGGGGTGCTCCAGGGCCGTCTTGGAGGCCATCTTGGGCGTCTTGGAGGCCTCTTGGGCCATCTTGGGACCCTCTTGGGGCCGTCTTGGGGGCGGGGCCATCTTGGAGGCTTCTCGGGCCGTCTTGGGGGCGATTTTTGGGGTCTCTCGGGCCGTCTCGGGCCGTCGGAAGGCCCAAAGGAACAAACGCTAACATCTTTCAAAACCTAAGGCGAATCAAAACATTTTGACCTCTTCGGGCTATCCTGGAGGCCATGTTCGGGGTCTCTTGGAGGCCTCTTAGGCCGTCCTTGGGCCGTCTTGGGTGCATCTTGGGCCGTCTTGAGTGCATCTCGGGGCCATCTCGGGCTCTCTTGGGGCCGACTTGGCAGTCTTGGAGGCGCCTTGGAGGCATCTTGGAGGGCATCTTCGGCAATCTCTGCCGTCTTGGAGGCGACCTGGGCCACGGGAGACGACATTGGGGAACGGGTGTCCGGCGCGCTGGGCCTCTAAGCCCCAGGGGGAGGCACCTCTGGGGCAAGACCACAGGGGGCGTCGGATCGAATGGGCTTCGGCCCATCCCGCCACCGTACGGCAGGTTTGCGTCGTGTCGACCAGCGGCGACCCCAGCGCGGGCGTTCAAGGGTGAACGCCGCCGGCGACCCAGAATCGATCGATGTTGAACGATCGGACGTTGCGGCAGCGGCCGATCGTTCAAGGCTGAACGATCCCTGCGGTGTCAAAAACCAACGTCGGGGTCGGCACGACACGAACCTGCCGTAGCTGGGTTGTGGTGGTGTGAAGCCTATTGGATGTTCTTTGGGATCTCGCGGGGAGCCACTGGGGGGCCTCTTGGAGGCGGTTCTGAAGCCTCTTGGGGGCCGTTTTGGGTCCTCTTGGGGGCATCTTGCGGTCTCCTTGGCGCCTCTAGAGGCCTCCGGGGGGCCTCTTGGGGCAAAAGGCTCGGATTTTCGGTTCGTGCTCCCTTCCTTGGGCCCCTTTGGGGGCCGTCCTGGGCCCTCTTGGGCCGTCTTGGGCCCACGGAGCCTTCTTGGGCAGTTCGGGGGCATCGTGGACGCCTCTTGGGCCGTCTTAGGGCGATATTGGGCGTCTCTTGAGCCGCCTTGGAGCGTCGGGAAGCCGAAAAGGCGAGAAAGACAAACAGCATGCTTGTTTATTCGCTGGATGGGTATGGCATCCAGCATACATCGTCGGCCGCTAAGTCGAGAGATCAATGCCGTCCAGCAGAAGGGGGCACCTCAGTCAAAGACACAACTATTACACATCGAGCTTGTGTCCCTAGCGTGATTACTTCCCTTTTCCCCCTATCAGTTTGTTGGACCCCCGCTTCCAACAGTTGGCGCGTGGTGTGGGCATGAGTCATGCTGTCTTGAGCTGGAGGACAGTCGGACGAAAGAAGGGCGGAAGGCAGACATTCAGGCGGGCAGGACTCGTGCAGGAAAGCGTGCGCATCCGGCCCGCACGCCGCGGGAAGGCAGTTAACCATCATCCAAACGGCGCGTTGGCGGCCGCATGCAGCAAGCAGATATGGCACCCAGCGCTGCCAGAAAATCGAACAAGGCACAGACATAGACTTTCGTTCCGCGCGGATGTCTTGGATCTGCGCTGGACCCCCCTGGCGGCGCCTCCGGCGCCGCTCCTCGCGCGCTCCGCGCGCCAGGCTGGGGCGTCCAGAACAGATCCCAGACAGCCGCCCGGACCTCCTCGAGTTTATACGTGCGCCGTTGCTGCTCCCGCCAGAAGAAGGGCTCTGTGACCGGGCAGGCGGGGAGACAGGCAGACCGGCAGAGAGGGGGGACGGTTCTAGGATGAAGTCGGGCCTGTCCCTCGACAGGAGACTACTCCAAAACACAGTTTGGGGACGATGCTTCGACGACGAGCGCTGGCGGCCAACAGAGGGGTGACGACCAGGGGAGAGGGGGATATCAAGGCGTGGGCCAATGCTGTTTCCTCCGATGTGATGGCCCCCCTGCTTACCTCATGACGTCCCTGGCTTCCCCCTCCCCCGTGGGACGCGCCCGTGCCGCTGGCCATGCTTTGCACCCCCCTCCTCTTGGACGTCCCCCCCGCTTGGGACGCCCCCGAGACAGTTTTTTTGATCTGCGGGGCGAGAGCGAACTTCTTCCGCGGGAAGCTAAGCGGGACGCGCACAACTTCAATTCGCAAAGAAAGGGCGAAAGAAGGCGGGGCCTCACGTCAAGGCCAGGAGGGGGCAAAGCCCCGGAATCGGGCGGTGCCGAAGACGATGTGTTTGCAAAGGAACGCCTTGCACAGGAACCTGGCGGCGCAGTACCGGAAGAAGCAACATGTTGCTTCAACGCCCCCGAGACAGGCCCAGAGAGGGCAAAGCCCTGGGATCAGGCGGTGGGCGCCCCCGAGACAGGCAGAAGGGGGGGGGGCGGCTCTGGGCCTCCCGGGGTGGCCGCGGCCGGGCACCCCAGGCGAGAGCGGGCGGGGCCCCGGCCGCCGGGCCGAGGAGAGGCGGCCGCAGGCGTCGGTTCGACCGCGCGCGAGGCCCGGCGACGACGAGCGAGGAGGAGAGGCCGGCCTGCTCTGCCAGAATCTCGGGCCGGACGAAAAGGGGGGACAGGGAAAGGGGGGGTACGAAGTCTGCTGCGCGCAGCTGGTTTTTCGGCCCCGCCGAACGGAAGGGTCTGGACGCCCGGGATGGGTCTGGACGCCCGAAATGGGCCGAAGGCGCCCGCCGAACGAAAGGGTCTGCAGAGTCGGGCCGAACGAAAAGGTCTGGACGCCCGAAATGGGTGCGGAAAGAATGGGCACGATGCCCAGCAGCAGTCTCTGTTCCTCTTTGAACAGGATCCGCTGTCCGCGCCGCTGCGGCTGGTGTCCATGCGAGACGTCGGCATTTGTTGCTGGGCGCTGTGCCCGTTCTTTCCGTGCCCACTTCGGGCGTCCAAAAAAAAGGGGGGCATAGGGGAAGGGGGGGGCTACGAAATCTGCTGCATGCAGCTGGTTTTTCGGCCCCGCCGCTGGGCGCATGCCTCGACACGTGGGCGCCTCCCGGCGCCGGGAGGCGCCGGGAGAATCAGCTACGCGAGCTGAGTCTCACGCCCCCCCTTTGCTATCCCCCCCTGCCGGGCCCGAAAGAACAGCATTCTTTGAAGGCAGATCTGGCTTCAAAAAGATGGTCTACTCCGTAAGAGCGTTTTTTTTTGAAGGCGGATCTGCCCTAAAGAAGGAGTCGACCCTGTGAGAACGGCTTCTTTTGAAGGCATATCTGCCTTCAAAAACAAATTGGTCCTACAGGGTGCAGTCGGCTCGGACTCGGAGGTCTACCCTGCCAGCTCAAGGGCACCCTTGTGCCCTGTGCCTCGCGACGCGTGCCTCCTTGCACTCCTGTGGCGATGTGGCCCTCGGAAGGGTCTCGTGTCCTCTCGCGTGTCCTGTCCAATCGAGTCCGACTGTAGGCCGGTCCTCCCTCCTGGCAGGCAGAGGACGAGCGGCGGCGACGACGGCGGCAGCCGGCGCGGCCGCGGACGGCGGCGGCGCGGCGACGGCAGACGAGCGAAGGGCGAGGGCGGCGGCCAGCGGAGGAGCGGCGCGGCGGGCGGCCACGGGCGGCGGGCGGCGGGCGGCGGGCAGGTTGGCGAGGCGCCGTTCCATTCGCAGGTTCGCCATACAGTCAAGGCGCCGAAATACGAAGACTGTTGGGGTTCGGAGGGGGCCCGACGTTTCCCAGGTTCCTCCATGGCTGTCCTCTCGCCCTCCTCGGGCACGGAGGTGCCTTTCGGGCCAGAAAGAGGCTTCGTTCCTTCTGTAGCGTTCCTTGTGTCAGCGGCCCGACTGTACATCAAGCAGTGGCGAAGCGTCCTGGCCCGCCTACAGGCCCACCAAAGAATGTCCTAAGAACCTCCTGTGGTCTGCACTCGATGTTCCCAGCACATTTCTGGCCGGTGCTGTCGTATTGCTGAGGCCCTACGGCCGGTGCCGCCGTCCCTGGAGGACGACCCTCATGGGGGAAGGGGGAGTAAGACATGATGGGGGAGGTCGGAACGAGACGCTCTCAAGAGTTTCCGGGAGCAGCACTGCTTTGCCTTGTGGGGGGGTCTTCAGAAGACTACGGCAACCTTGGCAGACAGGTCTTGACAGGTCAGCAGGAGTAGCACGAGCAGTAGCAGTACCAGTAGTGGTACCGCCGTTTGCGAAATAAACGCCCACCTTAGGGATCGAAAACAAGACGACGAAGCACGCCCCCTTTCCCCCGTATTTCAAGGTTGACGGGGAGGGCTGGGCAGTCCAACATAAGTGGACGTTTATTTCGCAACGCTTCGCACTCCCCTTCGGCGTGTTTGGTGGCCAACATTGAAATACGGGGCGCGGGGCGGGGCGCTCGGTACTTCCAGACGTGGGCGTTTATTTCGCAAACGGCGGTAGCAGTAGCGTTCCTGGGGTCTTCTGGGGGGCAGTTTGGGGGCGGGGAAGGGATCAAAGGGAAGAGGCTTCCCCTCGACTCAATTACGACGTTGCTCAATTTGAGGTGGGAGACGGCGACGGTTTGAGGTGGGAGACGGCGAAGGCCGTAAGGCGACGGCGACGACAACGGGGAGGGGAGCAGCGATGGGGGACAACAACCATGGCGAACAGCACAGGGGCGCGAGCAGCGAGGGAGGCAACAACCACGACGAACAGCCCATTGCACATGCCGACAGGGTCGGCGGATTCAACGCATCGGGTTTATGGTGTAAGAACGTGGCTTTTGTTCTTAGACAATTCTGGGGTTCGAAGAACATGTCGTGGTAGGCCAATAGGAAAGCCGGGATGGCTGGTCCTTGCTCAAGTAAAGAAGCTTGACGGGTCAAGGATGCAAGGGTAACCTTTGGAAGGTTACCCATCCTTGCTCTGCGGGTTGACTGTAGAGCCAGCGTGCTGCCATGAGGAACGCATAGACTAAGGATGCACGATAAGGGTGGCAAGGGCCTTGGAAAGCCGTGTCGACACCGTTCGAGAGGGGCGCGGCAGACGAAAGCGGCTAAGGATTAGCCCAAGGGGACGGCCCTCTTGCGGAACGTTGAGTGAGCCACATCACTTAGAGGATGTATGACAACGCTAGAGACTTCGGTGACGCAGGGGGGAGGGGCCGGGGGGGCGGCCTCCAGGTCCAAGTCGTCGGGCGGCGGCACCAGCCGGTCGAGCAGCAGCTCCAGCGCGGGCTCCCGCGGCTCCGGCGGCGGCGCGGGGCGGCCGAAGGAGGGCGCCACCCGATGCCCAGCATGAGTTGGGGGGGGCATGGGCCGGAGGCGGAAGAACGGCATTAATCAGAGCTCAAGAGACGGGGGTCAATGCAAACGGGGGTCAGCCGGAGCGCCGAATCTTGCAGGATCCTGCAGGGCCAAGGTCGCACTGACCCGGGCTTGGGTGCAGGATCCTGCAGCCTCTCGCAGGATCCTTCGCCTTGGCCCGGGCTTGGGGTGCAGCATGTTGCAGGATCTTGCAGGATTCTGCGGGGCCTGGCTGACCTTGTTCTGGATGGGCCCAGGTCAGAAGATCCCCGAGGCTCGAGGGGGGGGGGGGGCGCGGGCCAGAGGAGGACGGACGGCACGAACGAAAGCTTTCGCAGCTCCGCGCGGATCTCTCGGATCGGCGTTGGGCCGCCCCGGCGGTGCCTCTGGCGCCCGAGGCGCCAGAAGCGGTCGAGCATGTCCCGTCGTGACGCTCCACGACGTGAGGAGGAGGGGGAACCTTGAGATCCGACGTGGCGAAACAACATTGCCACATCGTGAAACATCGCAGCCGAAACCCCAGACCCCAATCCTTCGAGCCAGGTCCATCCGTGCGGGTCCCGGGGGCCGAAGCAAGCCAAAAACGCCAGGTGTGCAAACATTGAAACTCCAGGATCTCAGGGAAGGACCGAACCAGGTGCCGATCGCTTCCCTCCTAGGCCTGGCCAAGGCTTCCCCTTTTTTTTGGTTATTTCTCTCTCTCTCTCTGTTCCCCCTGCTCCGGGCTCGCCCTCGCCGGTCTGCGGCCACCAGACATCGGCCGATTGGGCCGGTGAGGCTCACGCTCGAGTGGTTTGGGGGGCGCCAAGACCGCCCTTCCAACCACAACAACAACAACAACCGCCACCACCACAACAACAACATACAACATACAACATACAACAACAACACCAACAACAACAAAACTCTGAAGACTGTTCGCCCTTATATGCTCGAGTGTCCAATAACGCGTATTTCCCAAACCCTCGATACCCGCCCTCTTCGTCTTCGATCGAATCCCTTTTGGGGGGTATACCTTTCTTCCCTGCAGGCCGGGCCCCGGCAAGCGGCGGAGCGGCCGCGGACTGTCGGCCTGGCCAGCGGCAGCGCTGATCGGCGGGGCGGCCGCGGACCGTCGACCCGACTCCAAGAGGGACGGACAGGGGACCGACCACGACGACGACGACGACGACGACGACGACGTCGAAGACGACGGCGACGACGACGACGGCGACGACGAGCGAAAGCGAGAGCGAGAGAGAACGACAGCAGGGCCACGAAGGGCACGAAGTAGGCCACGAAGGGCGACAGCGGGGACACGAAGGGAATGCGTATGGGGCCACGAAGTGCAGATAATGCGGGGCCACAGAAGGCAACTATGGGGCCACTGAGGGTAGCAACTGGGCCACGTAGGACAGTGAGGAGGACATACATTGCGACAGCGGGTCCACGAAGGGCATGCACATGGGGCCACAACAGGCGCGACTCCTGGGCGCCTGGGTGTCGGGAGCGCGGCGCTTGGGCAAATTGCAGGAAATTCCAACGCAAGGCCATTCTTCAGTAAGTTGCAAGCAAATCCCCAGCGAGAGCGCGACTCCAGAGCGCCGGGAGAGGGATTCCTTAATAAATTGTAAGGAAGTACCAAGAGAGAGCGCGATTCCTGAATAAAATGCGAGGAAGTCTAGGACGGGAGCGGGGGCCCTGGCTAAATTGTAAGGAAGTCTCAGGCGGGAGCCGTTGTTGTTGTTGTTGTTGTTGTTGTTGTTGTTGTTGTTGTTGTTGTTGTTGTTGTTGTTGTTGTTGTTGAACATTATTATTTCTAAAGAATAATTATTGTTGGGACCCCTGGTGCACGACCCCCCCGCCGCGCCTAGGCCGCAGCCTCATTTTCATCATTTTCGTGAGGAATCTCAGGCAAAACGGGTTGGTCCGGATCCGGTTGTGTTGTTACGATCGGTTTTCCCTTGCAAAAAATAAGCTAAAGTGGACATTTCTTGTTCTAACATAACCAAGCTTCAAGAATCCCTTGCAAAAAATAAGGTAAAGTGGACATTCGCGCGCGCAAGACGAAATCCTTCCAAAACCTTAGTTTTCGTAGCGATTTTAACATAAAAACATCAACAAACCAATGGTTTTTCAAAAAAAAATGTCAAAATTTCATCCCGCGCGCTCTTGCGGATTCGTAGGAAACCCAACACTTTTTAAACATTTCTGTCAAACGGGCTTTTGCGAGCAACTTTTTCGAACTTCTGCAACAACGGTTGCGCACCTGCCAGGGCCATCATCCCTGTCAAATAATACCATGCGGGACACATTCGTTTTTTCTTCGCGCGCGCACGCCGTCGTCGTCGGCCGCGGGGCCCTGAATAGTAGCCACGGTCGTCCGCATGCCACGAAGTGAAGTGTCCGAACGTCATAGGGCGGGAAGCTGGGTGTGGGTGGTGGCGAAGAGTCGTTTGGAAATTTGGTAGACCTTGAACCGGCCCCCCCACAAAGTGGGGGTATTGCCCGCCTCCTATGAAAACCCTGGCACTGGTGAGAACGGTGTGTCCCCACGTGCTAGTAATTGTTGTTGTTGTTGTTGTTGTTGTAACCCTGGGGCCAGGGGCCCAGTTTGAGCAGGAAGATTTTCCCTCTCCAAAAACAGGGTGCGAGCGTCGAGGGGCACACTTTGATTGAGAAAAAACAGTATGCACCGGTGGGGGGATCAACAATAATTATTCTTCAGAAATGGGAATTCAACAACAACAATAACAACAGCAACAACAACAACGCTCCCGCTAGAGACTTCCTCCTTTTTTACTCAGGGCCGGTGCTCTTGCTCGCCGCCGAAAGCCGCCGTCCCAACAAACCAGCGCTACCGTTCGATATTTCCTCCCGTTTTACCTTGGACTGGCGCGCTACTGTTTCTTTCATGGGGGCCGCCGCCAGGCTCGAGAATTCCTTACATGTTTACTCAAGGCGGTGCTCCTTTTCGCCCCCGACAACCGCCGTCCCGAGAAAACCAGCGCTTCCGCCCGAGACTTCCGTTTTTACGCTGGATGCTCTCTTTTGAATTGGCGCCGCTCCCAGCAAGAACAACGCTCCCGCTCGAGGCTTCTCTTCATTTTCGTCAGGGCGGTGCTGTTCCTCGCCGCCGACAGCCCCCGTCCCGACAAAGCCACGGTTCCCGCTCGAGACTTCTCAATTCTTATTCACGGCGGTGTTCCTTCTCGCCCCCGACAACCGCCGTCCCAACAAAACCAGCGTTCCTGCTCGAGACTTCGTTTTGTTTTACGCTGGACTTGCGCCATACTTTCTTCAGCATTGGCGCCGCTCCCAACAACAACAACAGAGGACGTGCTCGAGACTCCCTCCCTTTCTGTTCAGGGCCAGCTCCTTGCCTCGCCGCCGACAGCCCCCATCCCCACCAAGGCAAACCTGTCGCTCAATACTTCCTTGTGCTTTACCCTTAGCTGGGGCTCCACTGGCGGTCTTGCATCGGCGCAGCAAAACACGGACATGCGTTTTCGAGGCGGGATCTGTTGAAGACCTCATTGAGCGGGGGAGCTGGGAATGGGTATCGCGGAACCCGCTATAGAACAATAGTCCCCCATGATGGGGATTGCTACCATGATAGTTACATGCTTCGTGTCGAAACATCGCGAGTGAGGGTAACATGTTTGTAGTTGTTGTCGTTGTTGTTGTTGCTCTTGATGTTGCTGTTACTGTTGGCGTTGGTGTGGTTGTGGTTGTGGTTGTTGATGGTGTTGATGTTGTTGTTGTTGTTGGTGGTGGTGGTGTTGTTGTTTGTATTGTTGCTATTGTTGCTATTGTTGTTGCTGTTCCCCCCTTCCTCTCACGCTCATATCCGTAGCCATCTCGGATCAAGGTATCGCCTGTGTTCTTGGATCATGGCTTTGACGGCGAAAGACCTTCACGAGCAGTATGGCCCTGAGCTGTCCCGGCCTCCCTTGGCCGACTGCGAGAGTGCGTATTATTTGCATCAGGCGCTCGCGGCAAAGGGTATCAATGCCAGTCACCAGGCGTGCAAGACTTGGTGGGCCAAGTATCGGGTTGTGACTGGCAAGGTCAGTATTTCTAGCGCCAAGGAGCTGGAGGAGCAGCACGGGTCTGCCATCCGCCACCTGGGCATCGAGTATAATACCGCTTACAAATTATGCCGGGCGCTCCGACAGTTGGATCCACCACTGTATGTGCCAGATAGGGTCGCAACGGCGTGGCTACTGCAGTATTCATCGAAAGACACGCTTGTCCAAGTGCAGAACGCTGGCCATCTGGAGAGCTGGTATGGAGAACGTATTCGCAAAGACATGCCCGAGGGGACCACTGACGGGGCCGTCTTGAAGCAGTGGCTCCTGGGACATTTATCTGTATCTGCTAACGCCAGGGTATGCCAGAAGTGGCTCAGCACGGAGTGGGGCGCCAAGGGGGCACTCAACACTGCCCAAGCTGTGGAGGAATGTATGGGCGAGCGTCTTCGACTCAATCAGTATCGGGAGAGCTTCGCCGACGATGCCGCCGCGGAGGTCCTCTCGCAGCTTCTCTCGGAGAGCGATCCTCCCGTCGCTGTCAGCGGTATGGTTTTGAGGCAATGGTACGTGAAGTATCACCCTGACTCTGGACCTTTGCAGTACGACACGGCCGAAAAGCTCAACGCGGCACTTGGTGACCACATGCGCGCTGTATATCCAGGGCTGAAGTACCACACGTTGCATACCGTGTTGCGTATGCGACGGAAAGCTGTCTTGGTGTCCCGCTCAGTGTTGAGAAAGTGGTGCGATGTGTATGCGTCGGTGGGCGCTTCAGTGCAGGCGGCGGCTTCATCCGCCCAACCATGAGTCTATGAGCAATGCATGCGTCATCCTTGGGACTGTATAACATCAGTGTAACACATGTACTTCTGTAATCGCATCCCCACGAATTTGCCCCAAAAATGTGACCAACTATCTTGGCACTGCGTACCATCTCACGTGTACCGTGTACCACATCATATGTAACAGATGTGATCAACCTCTGTGGGTGTGTACCCCACGCCAGTGTAGTAGCCAGGGTCGTCCGCACGCCACGAAGTGAAGTGTCCCAACGTCATAGGGCGGGAAGCTGGGTGTGGGTGGTCTCGAAGAGTCGTTTGGATATTTGGTAGAGCTTGAACGGCCCCCCCACGAAGTGGGGGTATTGGCTGGTGTCGCAAGAAAACCCTGGCACTGGGGAGAACACTGAGCGTTCGGGTAAAATGATTGTTGTTGCTGTTGTTGTTGTTGTTGTTGTTGTTGTTGTTGTTTCTTGTCGTCGTCCCACTCGCGACCCCCCCCGCGACCCCACCCCGCGACACACCCCGCGACACACCCCGCGACATACCCCGCGACCCATCCGCGACCCACCACGCGACCCACCCGCGACCCACCCACGAACCACCCGCGACCCACCCCTCGACCCACCCGCGACCCACCCGCGACCCACCCGTTACCCAACAGCGACCCACCCGCGACCCATCCGCGACCCATCCGCGACCCAACCACCCATTTGCGACACACCCGCGACCTACCCACATTGGTTGAACGAAAAGTTGGCGCCTGCGGCGTGCTTTTCCATAGTCTCGCAAACTGCCGACGTCCTCACCGGGACGTAATATTTTTGGTTGGGATGGTCTTGCTTAAGCCCGTTGGGCTTACGTTATAAGAACATTATTCTTGTTCGTAGAATATTTTGGGGTTCGAAAGCCGTGGTAGGCCTGTCGGATTACCGGGATGGTCAGTTACTGCTGAATGGTCAGCAGGGGCACTGGCCAGGAGGAGGAGGAAGAGGTGGAGGAGGAGGAGGAGGAAACGGAAGGAGGGAGGGAGGGAGGGAGGGGAGGAGGAGGGAAGGGAGGAGGGAGGGCGAGAGGAGACGCAGGAGGAGGGGAGGAGGAGGAGGAGGAGGAGGAGGAGGAGGGGCGCAGGAGGAGGAGGAGGGAGGGATGGGAGGGAGGAGGGCTCGCCCCCTCAGAAGAAGGTGCGGCCCCGGGCGGCGCGGGGTGCCCACTCTCGGCCGCCCCTCGCCCTGCAGGATGTGGGCGGGCCCTGCGGGACGCGGGTCCCGGAGACGTTTGGCCGTTCTCCTCCTCCTCGTCGTCCTCCTCGTCGTCGTCCTCCTCCTCCTCCTCCTCCTCCTCCTCCTCCTTCTCCTCCTCCTCCTCCTCCCCGTCCTCCTCCTCTTCCTCCTCCCTCTCCTGCATATGGTAGTGGTGGTGGAAAGTGAGCCCATCAGGGCCCGCGGCTGGGCCCAGGGGGCCATCAGCGACGGGTCCGGGCGAAGCACGGCCGTGCTCGGGTCGGGCGTTGCGTCATGGGCGGGGCGACGAGCCCAGACTCACGTCGCGCCTGTCCCTCTGCAGGAGGAATCTTCAAGAATAGTCTGGGGACTATCTCAAAAAAGTATCTGTGGACCATTTTTGGATTTGTTTGGACTATGTTTTAAGTTTTTCCTCGAAAATCGGCCTGTTTCGGGACAGGCCCGACTTAAGCCCAGCCCGACTTAAGCACAGCCCGTCGGTCTCTGGGGGCCCATTCCCGGGCCTCGGGGATTTCGGAAAAGGACCCATGGATGAGAAACCAGTCCAGGGGGGGACGGGTCGAGACCTCTGGGGATCGACATAGTGAAAAATCATGACGTCGGGGGTCTCTGAGTGGGGGGGGGCGATGCGTAGGGGGGGTGAAGAAATGTGCACCCTTGATGCCCTAAAGAGGCCCTCCCGGGCCCAAAAGGGGCCCGAGATGTGCACGTGAGCGACGGAAGATAAGGGGTTCGATTGCGTCGACACTAGAGCGTGAACTGCCCGCGTGAGCGCCCTCGCTTCCGACGTGGCATGCCACGCCGGCGGCCCGCGTGAGCCGCGGCGTAGGGTCGTCGTGCCATCTCGCCCGAGACTCGTTCTTGATCGTCGCTCGCGCCTCTCCCGCCCCCCCCATTTGCTGGCTTCGCCCTCCAGCAGGGGGCGCCCAAGTCACTTGGCATCGCTCGGACGTGTGCATTCTTCCTTCGGCGAGGACCATCGAGGAGCACCCTTGATGATTAGGCGGAAGAACCACGCACGGAACCGAAAAAAGCACAGGGAATGGACGTCCGAGCGATGCCCAGGTCAGGGCCCACGGGCCCCGTGACCGTCGGAGAGCGGCTCGGCAGGAAGACGGCGGGTCCCGAGGAGCGCCAGGGGCCCCCGGGCCCCCGGAGGGCCCCGTGGCCAGAGGTGGCCGAGGTGCCTCGGCGCGCCCGCGTCGAGACGCGGCGGGGTGCAGTGTTCAAAGCGCCCGTGTGGACACGCTGCGTGTTGGCTCGGGCTCCTCCTCCTCCTCCTCCTCCTCCTCCTCGAGGATCTTCCTCCTCCTCCTCCTCGAGGATCCTCCTCCTCCTCCTCTCCTCCTCCTCCTCCTCCTCCTCCTCCTCCTCCTCCTCCTCCTCCTCCTCCTCCTCCTCTCCATGAGGCTCCTCCCTCGGGTCGGCATCCACCCCTCGCCCTCCTCCATGTCATCGCCTGGCTCACGTTTTGGCGGACGCATCGCACCAGGCCCACGTGTCCAGCCTCCGTGTCGAGCTCCGTGCCAACACACTGCGCGTTGCGCGCCGCGTATCGGGGCAGGTATAAGTGCAGGAGTTGGGAGGACGCCTCGCTTCGTCATACCTCCTTTCCCCTCTTCCCGCCCCCCCCCCCTATGTGCATCGCCTCCCTCTCTCCTTTCCTCCTCCCTCCCTGGCCTTGCTGGGTTCCCCTCCTCTCCCACTCTCATCCTCTGTCGCCTCCCTCCCCCTCTCCCTCCCCTCGTCTCTTCCTGCAGTCGAGCTTGATTCGTAGGTCGACCCTGCTAAATCCAGGGGACCTTTGTGTCCTGTGTGTTTTGTCCCACGCCCTCTGTATTCCTGAGGCGAGGTGGCCCTCGCAAGGGTCTCGTGTCAAGAGGGGCCTGCCCCTCTACAAGAGGAAGATGCAACAATCGTCAAAACATCGCCTGGGGACGATGTGTTTCGATTATTATTGATCATTGTGTGGGGGAATTTGGGGCTAATGTTTTATGTTTCGTCCAACATCCGCCTGTATAGGGGACGTGCCCGACCTGTCTTGTGTCCTCTCGCGTGCCCCCTCCTCCTGGGTCTTGGCATCGCGCGGACGCGTGCAGTTTTTCTCGGCGAGAACCATCGAGGACCATCCTGGACCATCGAGCAAGAAACACGCACGAAACCGAAAAAAACACGGGAAATGGATGTCCGAGCGACGGCAAGGGGTGCAGCGCGGCCGAACCGCACGGCGAGGCCTCCTGCGGGTGGTGTGCAGACCTGCCCGCGCCGACGTCTGCAGCGGCATCGGGCCACGGGCACCGCCGGGATGCAGCAGGGCACGTCCCCCTGCAGGAGGGATGCGCAGAAGTAGTCAAAGACACCGTCCGGAGAGGGTTCTTTATTTGTCGTGGTATGTTTTGTCGTATTTTGTGGTCTTACTATTTTTTCATATGGTATTGTGGTAGTTTGTGAGTATTTTGTGGCATTTCTTTTTGTTCGCTGCAATCCGCCTGTAGGGGGACATGCCCGACCTAACGCTTGGAGGGGAGGAGGGGTCGGCTTACGTCGGGCACGTCCCTCCACAGGAGGGACGTGCAAAAGGAGTCAAAGAAGTCGTCTGGGGACGATCTGTCTATTGTTGTTCTGATGTGTTTTTCTTGCCTACTTTGAGGCATCTTTCATTTTTCCCTTGCAGTCCGCCTGTAGGGGGACATGCCCGACGTGACGCTAGGGGGGCAGCGGGGTAGGCTCGGGGGGGCTGCTCGTCTGGGGACGATCTGTCCATTGCTGTTATGATGTGTTTTTTCGCCTACTTTGAGGCATCTTCCACTTTTCCCTTGCAGTCCGCCTGTGGGGGGACATGCCCGACCTGACGCCAGGGGGGCAGCGGGGTAGGCTCGGGGGGGCCGGCCCCCCACCCCGTCCGGGACCGTGCGGTCTCTCCATCGGGGCGCCCCTCGCCGATCACTCGGCGATGCGTCGCCGACTTTCCTGGCCGAGGGCTCCCCCGCCCGAGCTGGCACACTCCGCTCCGGCGGCGAGCGAGGGGGGGGCAGTGCGAAGGAGAAGGCCGTCTCAGAAGGCGGCGGGGCTTCTCGGGAGCGCTCCGGAGCGCTCTGAGAGGGTCTCGGTGCCCTCGGGGAAGGCCCAGGACACTGCTCAGAAGGCCACAGGGCTTCCGGGCCTTCCGAGAAGGCCTTCTCTGGGGCGACGAAGTCTATGCATATCTCAGGAGGGGAAAAAACACAGACACAATGAATCGTCGATCCCCCAGAAAATATGGGAAAATATGCGACGTGGGGGGGGGGGAGACAGAAGCCCAGAACAGATGGGAAGAGATGTGGAATCTTTTTATTTTGTGTGCCTTTTTTTTGTGTCCTGGGGCCCCTTCTCGATTCTCCTCCTCGCCTCCCCCCCCGGGCTCGCCGCCGGCCGTGCCCCCCCTCTCAGCACGGCCCGCCGAGCGGCCGAGCGCGCGCCCTCGCCCTGTGTCTCTGCACCGCGCGAGAGCGCCCGGAGCCGCCGCGGAGGAGCCCCGCAGCGCCGCGGCCGAGCAGCAGCCCGGCGGCGCCGCGGGGCGGTCGGCCTCGTCCTCGCCCTCGTCTGCGGCGGGCTCCTCGAAAGCAGGCTCCAGAGGAGCGCCCGCGAGCCGGTAATGATCGGGACGGGTAATTGCAGTCGGGGCGCCGAATGAGGTCCACTTGCGTTTCGAGAGGGGCTCGTTCGTTCCTCAGGTTTGCATGCGTTCCGCTTTCTATGTTTGTGGCGAGCCCCTCTGGCTTTCCTTCAGACTTCATGTACTTACTTGGAAAAGAAGGGCTTCGTTCCTTATTGATCGTTCCTCAGGTCAACGCCCCGACTGTACGGGAAGGACGAGGACGAAGAGCAACAACAGTTCCTGACCATTAGAAAGAGGATTCGCTGCTCGACGTCGCCCCTTCGAGATGGCAAATTGCCTGCCCGGCCGTTGCCGGCTTTAAACAAGACTTGCAGCTGGGAATCGTACCCATGTTTGTTCGCACCTGCCTCGGGAGTGCCAAGTGGGAGAGGGCAGGAGGACTGGGTCGGTGTGGGCGGAGAGCGGTTCTGGCCACGGGGAGCGCAGTTGGTGAAGAGAAGTCCCTGGCGGGCCTTTCGGCCATGGGGTGCTCCAGCTGCGCGCGGAGCGCTCCGTCAGGGATGTCTTGGATGCCAGCGTGCTTCCAGCACGTATGAAACGAAACCAGTCAGGCAACAGGATCGAGAGCGTAGTTTAGGCGACGCAGGACGAGGACGACGCCACCTTGTCTGCACTCTTGGGGAATGTGTGTGTGCGTCTGGGCCTGAGTCTAAGCCTGAGCAAGGCGACTGTCCAAGACGCAGGTTCGTTCAAAAGTGTAATGGGGATGTTTGGGTGGGTTGTAACTGCTTGTTGCTGTTCGGCAGGCCCAGGCAGGAAACAAACGCCGCCAACGCACAAGAAACAACACAACCCCAATCAAGGGATTCCCTCGTCTGGGCAGAATTTCGCCAGGGTGAGCTACAAGCAAACGCCTGGCGAGATGTGTATGTATACATATATAGATATGGTAAAATACATATCTCTTCGCACACATCACATGCATACCCAACCGAAAGGTAAGTACGGGCAAGCTGAAGTCCAGCGAGCGGCAACGGAGATGCAAGCCAACCTCTCTATACATCGGCAGCCACATGTAGCGCCAAACCAACCACATGCAATATAATGTAAATGTTAGCCGTAAAGCAAGCCAGAGGCATGCTATACCAATCCGACATCCAACGGGTGCCAAAGAAGAAACACACGGAACACCGCATTCGAGCAAATCTAAGAAAAGTGGGAGGCAACGCGCATGCAATGAACACTCAAGTTGCGTTCAAACCGCTGGGCAACCTCGAAGCAATCAGACATCGTCGACAGCTCGACATGCGAATGGCGCCCTCAACCTGGTAAGCTTCAGGCAGCAAGACAAGCAACCTGAAAACACGCCAGCCGTGAAACACACGCATTGCGATTACTGTCTGAAGGTAAGCCACAATCAATGGCAAACAGGTCCAAGACAAACTACAGGCGCTTTCCCGTATCGTCTCACTTCCCAGGCGAAGCAATGATACCTAACTGGGGGCCGATCCGCGTGACGAGGTACAGTGTAGATGATCGCGATAGCGGCCGCGAGGGCTGTTTCGTCGCCGTCGCCAGCGCCGCATCTTCGCATCCACGGTGACGCCGTCAGTGGCCATGTTGGATCCATCCTGACTCTCATATTCCGATGCCGAATGTCAGCCGAAGACAGAAAGCGCAGCGCCCTGGCCGGGCTCCGCGACCTGGCAGTTGAGGTGGGCGCGCCGGCGAGCCGTCGCATCGTCGACCTCCCGAGCGCGGGCTTCGGTGCTTCCTGCGCCCAGGTGGCCGCTGCCCGGCCCGCGCATGACCCGGCGGCGTCGCGCCGAGGAGGGGCGGCCCAGCCGCCGCTCCGTGCCGCTCGCGCCAGGGCCCCGGAGCTCGGGGCTCGCGACTCGGCGCGGGCACCGCTCGAGCTTCCGATGCGGGAGCTCCGGCGTCGCCCCGCCGTGGCGGCGTCGTCGCGCGCGTCGCGGGGGCCGCTGCTTCACGGGCGCAGGCGCCGCGCGCGCCCGCGGCGCAGGCGCCGCGGGCGCGCCGAGGGGCGCGGCGCAGGCGTCGCTTCGACGTCCAGTGCTCGGCGCAGGCGCCGCGGGGGCTGTCGAGCTCTCCGCGCGGGCGCCGCGCGCGGCCAGGATCTTGGGGCTCCGCGGGCGCGTCGGGTAAGAGGGCGCAGACGTCTCCTCGCCGCCGCGCTCCGTGAGCGCAGGCGCCGCGCGCGGCGGATCCAATCGGCGCGGCCGCGCCGCCCGCGGTGGAGCGCAGAGGCTGGCGCGTCAGGTGCTGAGATCGCATGCGTCGTGCCTCTCGTCGCAGGCGCCCCGGCGCGGGCGCGCCCAGGCCTTGTTTCTGTTCAGGTTTTGTTTCCTCCGCGCAGAAGCGCCGCGCCGCTTGGGGGTGGAAAATTATTCGAGCGCCAAAAGGCGATGACAATCTTAGGGATTCGCCCGCAAAATATAAGGGAATCCCTAAGATCGGCATCGTGATGAGGAGGTGCCCAGCATAGGGATAGGGATATGTTCCAGGCTGGTAACTCCACCACGCCGATGAAGGTGAATATGAAGAAAACGGAAGGGAACCGAGGAAAGGCCGTTGTCGCGTGACCTGTCTCTGACTCGTCCAAGGTGGATCCGTCGTTTCTGCTCCTGTATACCCGTTCGCGGAATCTCCACTCACAGTGCCCTCGCCTCCCCCCGCGCGAGAAGCAAGAGAGGCTCAGCTAATTAGGCACCGTGACTCGAAGGTACAGCGTGCGTGCCCTTCTAAGCCACCCTGAGCTATGGGCTACGGACGGCAGCACCCTGGCAGAGACAACAATACTTTACGGACTCATGTGTGCGCTGTTTGTTTTGTTTGTTATGTTCCCCCATGATGTTCCCCCTCACATGTCTCGAGACAAACTTGCCGTCCAGGCCGTTACGGCGTGTGCCCGACGTCCCAAAAAACATCCGAGCTCGACGTCGATCCATATCCGAACCCTGGCTGAGGTATGACCGTGGGGTGCTGGAGGCTGGGGCCTGCCGGGGAAATCAATAAATCCTCTGGTCAAGAAGGGCATCAAATGCATCAGCCTGGGGGTGGGACGCGCCACGAGGAAAGACACATCACCCTCCAGGAAATGACTAAATAAACGGGCTCAGAGACAGCGAGGCCGGCGTAGGCTCCAGCACCCCTTCTCTCTTCATTCGTACAGCCTTTCATGGAAGACGTGATGCGCCATCTGACCCAGCTCAGAAGCTGTCCCCAAACTAAGAAGAGTCATGAGTTCGTGTTTTATGCTTGAACTGCCCGCCTCCTGCGGTTCCCCATTACCAGAGGGGCTACGATAGGCAGTAGACCCTTCCACGTCTGGAGTGATGACAAATCTGGCTGAAGACCGGGATCCACAGCCAAGCCAGTCATTTGTCAACATGCTCGTTCGGCAATCCCATCTGCTGCGTAATGACTGTGGCAAGGGAGTCCCGTGTTGCCTCCCACCACCTTCTCGAAGCAGACTTAGTTGTCACACTTACCTTGCATCCCCCACAGATGCAGCAAATTATGATTGTAGCAAGCCAAGAAAGCGGCAAATGAACCCGCACGTTGCCGAAGAAATCTTGAGCCGGGAGTGCGTACGCTGGTGGCTCCGAGTGCCCCTCCGGCTCTGGGATGCTGCTGCGACGCACCCCGCCCGCATTCTGTCATATGAGGTCCGTGAGCACCTCCCGAAACCTCACGAGGCGCGCCTCCTTGCGGTGCGGCACGGCCTCGTCAGGAGCATGGCCTGCGAGGAAGGAGTCGACGGCCTCGGGAACCGTCCTGTCGGAGCCCGCCCGATCGGCCCACAGCGCCAAGCCCTTCGTCTTGAACTCCTCGAGCGTCCACTCTGTCAGCACCAGCTCCTTCTCAAAGATGGCATTGAGGAGCACCTTCTTCTTAACTGCTGTGATGCCTGCAGCCCCGGCTGCTGCGGGCGCCCCCCGAGGGGCCGAGACAAACACTGGCGCATGGCTCTCCTGGGGAGCTGCCCAAGGAGCCGGCCCCCGCGGCGACCTGCCGCTCGCCGTCTCCCCGAAAGGCCGGGCCGCGGCTGCGATCACCTCCTCGAGCTGGGATCCGATAGCCTTTGCAAGAATTTCTCCGTGTTTCTGATATTCCTGGGCCCGCTGCTCTTCCTCCTTGTCTTGGATCTAGCTCCAGAACTTGGCCGAGTGCTTCATGCGGTACTTCTCGCACCCAGCCACCTTCTCGTCCTCGGATCTGCTGGAATCCGTCTCTGGGCGACGACGGCGGCGAGATTGGCGGTCGTCTCGTCCGTGGTGCCAAAAATCACACACCGTGGGGAAACACACACACACACACTCACACACACACACACACTCACACACACACACACACACACACTGTGTGCGTTTTTTCCCCACGGTGCGTTTTTTTTCCCCCACGTGTGTGTGTGTGTGTGTGTGTGTGTGTGTGTTTCCCCACGTGTGTATTTGTTTTCTCCACAGTGTGTGTGTGTGTGTGTGTGTGTGTGTTTTTGTATGTTTTTTCCACCCCGATCGCCGTACTGCCTGAACTCGCCGTGCCCCCCTCGGGAGCCTCGGACGTAGTAGCCCCAGCTGTTGGGCCTATGGCCGCTCGAGCGGGAGTCCCACTTGTCCCCGTGCGACTGGCCGCCACCTCGCCCCATTGGCTTGGCATCGCTCGGACGTGCATTTTTCTTTCGGCGAGGACCATCGAGGAGTATCCACGAGCATTTGGCAAAAAAAACACGCACGAAACCGAAAAAAACACAGGGAATGGACGTCCGAGCGATGGCGAGTTGGTCTTCTGTCCCCTCGAAAAAATGTTCGAGCCAAACGCACGGCCGGGATGCACGGACACGAGAAGAGAAGAGCTCGCTCGCCTTACGCGGGTCGGGTACCCCAGTTTCATCATCTCCAGCAAGTGCTCCGAAGGCGCGACATACATGAGGCCGTTGGACAGCCTCGCCGACTTCCCAGTCGCCAGTGTTCCGAGGATGCCGCTTTTCAATTAT